GCTGCATTTCATGACTCTAAACAGAGCTACTAGTTTCTAAATGAAACAATTATAATTTTGCAAAAATAATGAAGATATCTGGTTCAAGTGAGTAGCTTACATGCACTGGTCCTGAGCATGAATGTGATGTCACTTTGGGGCTTTGATTGGTTTATTCAAGTTGCTCTTTTCTGGGTTGGAGTGATTATAGCCTATAACAAACAATTTCAAGGAATTTGAGTTTTAGCTTTTGATTTGAGGCAAAGATTTGGAAGTTAAGCATCCACATTGTACAGTGTATTTGTACTCTGCACAAAGTGGGTGCTTTTCTCCAGGAGATCCCTGGCTTGTTCATGTGGGCATCTACAAAGTTTGGCCGCCCCTGGTGGTGTGAATTAAGACCCTGCCAGTTACTGGCAATGTAGCATGTTCCTCAATGTAGACAGTGACACTGGTGACCCAAAGGCTTCAAATTCGTAATAGGACTTTGGTAGTCCCTGAACTCTTCCTGAACAGTTTCCTTTCTTCTGATTGGCAGAACTAACAGCAGATGAACAGGTTCTGTTGGCCTGTCAAGTTAAAAGACTTGGCATGGTGAATGGTGATGCAAGAAATCAACAAATTCAAACGTCAGCAGCCAACTCTTGTTTTTAACAAAACACTAAAAGTTGTTCGTTGCATAATCCTTCAAGCCTGGAAAATGAGTTGTTGAAGAAAAGCTCTAAAAGCCCAGACTAAGATCATCATAACTGTACATCTGAAAAACTTGTGGTAAGCAAAAGTTTACCTAAATTCAACTGATAAGGAGCCACAAACCACCTCCACATGAACTAGACCTGCCTTCACTGTGCAGTCCTCTGAGGCACTTGCAATGATGTTGTCATCATGAGGACACCACTGGACATCCAACACAGGCGCCGCGTGTCCACAGACTGTGGGGCAAGACTGGTCGATTCTGCCGCTCTGTTTGGAGAAAACAAAACACTCAGATCCGCTGGCTTGAAAGACTGCATTACACATACCGTGTCTGGAATCAGGCAGCGACCTGTAAAAGTGCTGTGTGTGCATTAGTGAGATTTAAAGGGTGAGCTCATAGTGAATCTGACAAAAAGCTTTTGACTTTAAAAGAAAAGTATTGATCCACAGTTTATCGGCCACAGAACGTATTGGTGAAGGTCAAACCTTGCTGATCGGAACAACGAGGAAGGCCCCTCCTCCGCCCGCTTCGATGATGACCGCAATAAACTTGGGGTTGACCGCGCAGAGGGGGCCGTCCCACGTCACCCGGGACACTCTGACGTCGTCGAGGCACTGCTCGGCCTTCCAGGCCTGAGCGAAAACATGGCGGAATTTACTTTGCCGGACCACGCCTCTACGGAAAGACATCCCTGCGGACGGAATGATAAGGAAAATGCTGCAGTAAAACTTTGCTCTCTCGGAAAAACAAGCTACATTATAATAAAAATTATTTTTCAGTTAAAAGCAGATTCATTAAACCCATTAAGGCCAAGCTGTCTATTTGCCTTGATTAAAGATTGAAACTGAAAGCATAAGATATCTTTATAGTAAAATAATAAAGACAATTTGCTACATCTTAAAGCTGGGTTGTCAAACTCCAGTTCATGAGGGCCGGTGTCCCTGGTCCAAACACACCTAAATCATATAGCTGAATTAGCTCCTCAGGATTCAGACAAGTCCTACAGAGTCTTGCTAATGTCCTAATTATTTGACTCAGTTGTGCTGAAGCAGAGGCACATCTGAAAGTTGTAGGACACCATCGCTCAAAGACTGGAGTGTAACAGTTGTGTTTTAAAGAATCCCCTATCATTGGCTGTCTGTTAGTGAGAGATAACTGGGCTGTCAAAACAACAGGCAAATTCTTCCGTGCTTAAACTTTGTCCTGGGAAAGTACAGTCCAGACTGAGTAGACAAAAAGGGTATGAGCTGCCTGAGATCAAAACATGCTGTGACAGAGGAAGGAAGGGGGGTTTTGCAGTGGAAGCGGCTGACATCAAGCTAATTCTTTACGGCTTGCAAAGCAACGTATGCACGAGAAGAAATGAGGGATGCAGTCAACAGCGCATCAAGTAACTATTCACATACCTTGAAGTTTTTCACATTTTGTCACATTACAACCATAAAATTCAATGTATCTCATTGGGTTTTTATGTGACGGCTCGACAAAAAGTAGTGCAGAGTTGTGAGAGGGAAGGCGCACATTTGCATTAAGCCCCTTTTATTCTCACACCCCTAAATAAAACCCAGTGCTGCCAGTTGCCTTCAGAAACCCCCTAATTAGTAGATAGAGTCCATTTGTGTGGGATGTTTACCTCAGTATCAACCTAGCTGTTCTGTGAAGTCCTTATAAGTTTGTTAAAGAACACTTTAGTGGACAAACAGCAGGAGAGAGAGGGAGAGAGACAAGAAGAAAGCCACAAAAAGCACAGGTTGCAGTTTGCCACGAGCCGTGTTGGAGACACAGCAAACATGAAGAAGATGCTACGGTCAGATGTGAACATCTTTGAACTTTTTGGCCTACATGCACAAGCTAATACCCTTAACACCCCTGTTCACACACTAAATCATAATGGTGGCAGGATCATGCTGTGGGAAAGCTGTGTTTTAGCAGGAAGAGGGAAGCTGGTCAGAGTTGAAGACAATAAACCTTTTAGAGGCTGCAAAAGCTTTAAAACTGCAATGCAGGCATCTTCAGACAGGACCATAAACATAAGCATACAGCCAGAGCTTCAGTGGAATGGACTTTTTACATAAAAGCTTATTTATGTGTTAGATATAGGGCTGCACAATGTTAGGAAATCTTGCGATGGTGATAATATTGTTAAATATTGTGATATTAGTTGCGATATATATGCCTATTCTCTTCTGTCATTTTCTGTCTCTTCTGTGCTTCCATCACTCTGTGACCTTTAGCATTTTGGGCGATGTCATTTGTGTCATTTGTGTTTGAGCATTTGCTGCCGCGAAACTCTGTCCACCAGGCTAAAAATTACATTTGCATGTAAAACACAGTTTCATAACAATTGGGAACTATTGCACTCAAAACAGTTCTTTGTGATATGAGTATTGCACACATTGATGACGATATATCCGCAATATATTTTAAGGCCCTAGCTAGGAAGGCCTAGTCAAAGCCCGGACCTAAACCCAAGTAAGAATCTGTGGCGGGATTTAAAGTTCACAGACACTCTGTATGTATCAGCTATTCTGCAAAGAAAACTGGCACAAAATACAGCAGACAAGGCTGGTAGAGACATACCCTAACCTCACATACTATGGATCCTTTTCCTTCCTTCACGATTAAAAATCCCAATAAAGCAAACTGAACTCTGTGATTGTAACGTGACAAAAAGAGAAAAAGCTCAAGAGGTATAAATACTTATGCAAATTACTTCCATGCATAACTTGCAAATGAGGAAAATGCTTCAAAAGCCTACAATATTCGGATCTATGTTGTTATGTGGACATATCCAAAGCATCATGCTACAGTTTTACTCAATAATCAAAGCCCTTGCATCAATCTCATTATTTTTCAATTATAGTCCTCCTTTAATAAGAGATATATAACTACAGGCTCTCGACCTGCAGAAGTGACTACGGGAATGATCAACAAAGGATGGGCGTTACGGCGTAGTTAAACCCACAGTGAGGCGTTTTTTAAAGAGGAACGCTCCCATTTATTTTCGAGGACAACAACATACCTGTTCTTTTTTCTCTTCAGCGATTGTTCTTAATTGGAAACAGGATCACCGAAGGCTGGTGGCAGGCGTGACAAGAGCCCAATAAAATAATCCGCCGCCAGCAGCAGTAACTTAATCCCCTCCCGTGTCCAGGCAGGCGTTCGCGGCTATTGCGCAGACCTATAATAAATACATGACGCTGGGGTAAAGAAAAGAACGAACATGCTTCTGTTGTTTCTGAACATTTCACGCATTTTAGGCCTTTCCGATTGGTTTTACTCAAAGTCTGTAGCAGGAAAGAAAATATTCTAACCTCAAAGAGCATGTCCCGAGCTGGTAAAGCCTTAATAAATGGTGCACAGCGACGCTGAAAGGGTCCCCCTCTGTTAGGAAGAGATGCAAACGCTGCGTCTCCCTGTGCATACGCCTGGTTTAGAGCGATGGATTGAGCGGAATCCCAGACACTTCCGCTCCTGGGAGGACACATCAAAGACACGTTGGGAGGACAAGATAGATTTCTTCCATTTGCTTCCCTGTGTGTTGAGCTGTGTCCCCCTCTGACCCCCCTCCGTTCACGCTTCTACTCTGTTATTTACGGCAGCGCTGTGATTCCACGGTGCATTCAAGTTAAGCCGTAAACTACGTTATCTACATCGAAGTCGAGTTTCTGTACTAAATTGACTTTTTGATAATATTCAACTTTACTGAGATGCCCCGAACAAAATTTCTTTGTCAGATTTTATAACTCAACAAAACAACTGTATAGAAGTAAATTGCTTCACAGTTCAGTCATTATGTTATTTGGGAATGGTTGAATAAGACCTTGGTGACGTTTAACTATTTATAAATGCGTTAATCATTATGGGGTTTAATGAAAATAGATGACCAAGGATAGGACATGAATACACCAGTGAGCTAAAACACGGCCGTAAAACATTGTATAGACGCGCAAATGTTGGAAAAATGGATGAAGATCCTAAAAGACTTTGCAACACCACACATTCATTAACAGCTGTACGTATTTGGAAAATAAAATAATGTCAAAGTGTTATCTTTTGTTACCACCATTGACTGTGTGGTATTATTGAGACGTTTGTGGGCCTGTTTGTAGATCTATAGCGCCATCATGTGGGTTATCATGGCTACACAAGTAGCATTACGTTACCGCCACATGGAGCTGTATTCTGTGGACGGTATCCCCGTCGGCACTGTTCTGGACCTCGCACACAACAGAGTCGAAATTTTCAAACACCCTACAAACCTTTCCGGAACAGTTGTGTTGTTTTGGTTCAAATTCAGCAGTGTCTCCGGGTTGCAACAGGTGGCTCCGTGGCGCAATGGATAGCGCATTGGACTTCTAGGCTGAAATGAGGTGATTCAAAGGTTGTGGGTTCGAGTCCCACCGGAGTCGCTTTTTTGAAAAGGCTGAAAAGAATTCTTTACTTTCACAAATGAATTTCAGCTCTTCTTCAGTGGCTGTACTTAAACAGCTACAGAGTTTGGCAATGGTCGCCGATAAAATCGTCCCTTGACCATTTGGCATTTTTGTTGTTTTTGGTCGTTTTGAGTACAAAGTGAAAAATACTTTGGGCCTATTCGTACCTGCCCGGAGGACAGCCAAGGGTGATTTGAAAAAAAAAATTAAATCTACTCAGTTTACTGTAAATAAATGTGGTTTTGTCACTAATAAATATCTACGAATAGCCTTTGCTCAGAGTTATTTTGTCAAAAGAGGAGTTATACAAATTTATTACCAATTAAAATGCAAATTAATTAAATTATAGGTAAGATCTGGGCATTTATTCATGTCTTTTCTAAACAATTTACGAAAATAACGCTTGCCACGGGACAATTTGCCCTGATAATGCTTCCATTTGTACTCACAAGGGGGATGTTTGGTACCCTTTCGGTGATTATTGAACCAGTGAGGGAGTTGTGTGAAACAAAATTTGAAATAAACTGATGATGTAATATACCAGAACTAAAAACGCAAGTCAAACCTTAGGACCATAACCTATCATTAAACCACCAGTTAAGTACAGATATTAACTTGTTTGACACAGAAAATTTAGGCAAAGGTAGCAGCGTTTCCACACGGGCTTCAATCGAGTAGCACCGGGTGTCTCCCAAAAGCTAATGTTAGGCTAGCTAGATGTAGCCAGTTAGCTTTAGATAATTATCATCGTACGCAGAAGTACGGTGAACATTACACACAGAACTGCTTAAGGACAGTGATAACACATCATAGCGTCATCTGTTCACAGTGACACCGTTGTTATCGTCAACGTCCTCTGAGTTGTTTCCAGCTTTAGCCGTGCAGCGTTAGCCTGAGTTAGCTCGGCTAGCCTGGCAGCGTATGGGTTGTCAGAGTTAGCAGTGACTTCACTGCCTGTCTGGTTTCCTCATCTGGCATTTTGGACACGTCAAGGTAAACATTCAGTCGCCTGCGAATTCGAGAGCTATCTTGTTCCAAGGAAATGAATATTCAGCGGTGTATTTCGCCCGCATTTTTTAATGTCAGCTGAACTTCTGATCAAAGGTGTCGGGTTATGTTTCCTGACTTTAGCTCATGTTAGCTGTGAGCGGAAATTAGCGCAGATTTTAAAGTTTTTTTTTTAAATCTGCTGTCAGTGCAGGCTAGCTCCTGCATGTCAGGTTCGTCGCTGTTTGAACAACTTCATCGAAAGTGTGTTGTCATTGTGGGTTTATTTTGTCTCAGTGGGGCTGGTTCTTCATTAGCTTAACATTTGTCACATTTAAACTTATAATGAAATCAGTATATTAAGTTCTAAAACGTTCAAATTGCTGTAAATAATATATAACGTGTAATTCAAGACAAATCAGTGAAATACTTTATTTAATTTATCAGCTAGCTTTTTGCCAATAAGTGCTTTGGCTTTTAAGATGAATTCTGGGAGCAAGAATAGTGAAACATAAATGTGTATTGATTCATTAGTTAACCTTTGACCCGTGATTCTACATTCAAAGATCAACCAAAGCAACCAGAAACTATTCATATGAAAATAAAATAAACTTTAGGATATTTTAGTTTGCACATAAGACGGGAGTATAAGTTAAAATGGTTTGTTACCCAAAAAGTGGAAAGTTTTCTCTATAACAAGTTTATGACATGTTTGGTAAGTAATGAAAGTGCATTCATAAACAATGAATTAGAATAAAGAAAACATCTCCCTCTGGTGAATCACGTTAGAAAAACGTTAGATTTTTAGGGCGAAATAAAGAAAAAATTGCATTGTACAAACTAAATCAGCAAAGTTTGTTCCATGTGATTTTCTTCAGCATTTTGTATTGACTAGATGGAATTTCATCGATACTTGCTTCCATTTCTCACTTTGTACTCATTCACTTAACTATCACCGATCAGTACATTTCTAGCTGTGGGTAAGTATTTTGATTAGTAATGCATTTAAGTGCATTTCTCATGTTTAATTTGATATTGTTCTAAAGACAATATTTCAAGATACACGGATAAGAGATTTTGTGGTCGATTTCCAATCATTGAATTTGTGAAGCTCCCCCCTTTATGATTTTACCTGATTCTGGTTTCTATTTAACAATACAAATAACAGCAAGACAAGTTTTTTTACTTTCTGGATAAATTACAAACTTAAAACTATGATTTTTAAAAAGCAAACAGCTCAGATCAACACAGCTGTTTGTCTCAGCATGACTGACAATCATAAAATACTGTAAAATCCTCAAATAGGTTTATTTTTTACATTTGATAGTAACATTTTCTCCATATCACATTGTTTTCATATATATTTTTTTACTTATCTATTTATTTTGGACCTGATACCTGTTTGGACTAGCCAACTCTTACAAAATGTGGCAGATTATGACCTCTGATCTAGAGAAAATGAGTCGGAGGGGCATCTTGTCAACAGATTTTTTTTCAAATAACCACAAACTTTCAAATCATGAATTGTCACTGTGGGTACAGACCTCTCCAACGTATGTACAAATTGATACATATTTGATAGGAAATATCTGTTGACAAATGGCTATGAAACAGGAAAAACTACAAAATGTCAAGGGGGATGAAGTGAACAGCATCAGAGATTTGAAAACCAGATTAAAAAAATTATTTCCTGACATTGTGTTGGTTTGGATGGAGGGGTTATTGACCTGTTCTGGTCTCCAAAACAGAAGTGAAACATGCACACATCCGTACTAAACCCATTTAGTTGCACGGCACAAAAAATGTGACTACTACTTCTCAAAAAAAAATTGTCCCCTTCAGCACATTATTTGCTTCCAATGTAACCTGTAAGTGCTCTAAAAGTGTGTGAATAGTCTGGAGACAGAGACATATTCTTTCAAAGCAATCTCCTCTGCTGTTATTAGTCATCCTTGAAAATTTAAATCTTTGAATGTAAATGTATAACTTTTTGGAAATCTTCCCTTAGAGGTTTCTCTAATCGGAATCTGGATTTCGGGGGGGTGTGATGTCAGAACCGAAGAGCCCCACTCCCACCCCTGCTGGCGACACGTACAAAGGATGGGTCTTCAAGTGGACAAATTACATCAAGGGTTATCAGCGGAGGTGGTTCGTTTTGAGCAATGGTCTGCTGTCATACTACAGGTAAGGTTTCCTAGCAGAAAGCATAGCTGTGTTAGTTCTCACCCATTTAGCCTCACCATATTACTTATTGTTTCTTATGTTTGTCCAACTGACCATTCTCTTTTTACAGCCCAGTTAATACGTAACAATTATCACCCACAAATCTGAATTGAGGGTTGATCGTTTGAAAGTTAGATTTTGAAATACTTGTTGCCTTTATGTCCAAAAGTCAACTTAAGATGTTCCATTATTAGGACCCAGGCCGAGATGGGTCACACGTGTCGGGGCACAATCAACTTGGCAACAGCAGTCATCTCTGTAGATGACGCCTGCAACTTCGTCATCTCTAACGGCGGAGCTCAGACATATCACCTGAAGGCCAGCTCGGAGGTGGAACGTCAGAGGTGGATCACTGCCCTGGAGCTGGCTAAAGCCAAGGCGGCCCGCATGCAAGCTGAGTCAGGTACTTGAAAATGCGTCTATTCAGTTCTTCATTATGTGTGGTAAAAACGTAACTGGTTTACATTTAGGTTTTTCATGTAACACACAGCATTGTGGATAATGTGACATTACCATTATGTTTGTTCACTATTAACTTAGTACTACACTACTAGGTTTCAGCATTTAGTCTTATTTTACTGGACTCTATCATCCTCTGAAGAAGATGCTTAGGTAAGGGGAGACGAAAGTAGAACTTTTTGGCCTACATGCAAAATGACATTTATGTTCCAAAAACAAACACCTCGAACATCTTCCCATGAGGAAACATGGTGGTGGCAGCATCATGCTGTAGGGATTACTTTCTTCGTCAGGGACATGAAAACTCATCTATAGAAAGTTGTATGGTACTAAATGCTGGATAATCTTGTAAGAAAAGCTGTCAGAGGCTGCCAAAAGACTTGAGATGGAGGTTCATCTTTCAGCAGGACAAAGATGCAGCGAAGGTAACAAAAGTCCAGAACAAAATCCAGTTGGAAACAAGTGCTCTCCATCCAATCTGTGAGCAATTTTGGTAAAGAACAGGCAAGAATTCAGTTTCTAGGTCTGCAAAGCCGGTAGAGACGTACCCCAATACAATTGCAACGGTAATTGCAGCAAAAGGTGGTTCTACAGAGTATAAACTCAGGGGGCTGATTACAAATGCACACCGGGGGAAAAAACAAAAAAAAAGCAAACCATGCACCATTTTCCTTCCACTTGACAAATATGTGCTGTGTATGTCTATCACATAAAATCCCAATGAGATGCACTGAACTTTGCTGCTGTAACTTGACAGGATGTAAACAGGTTTAAAGGGTGTGATTACCTTTGCAAGGCACTGTAAAACGCGAATTAATAAAGACTTTCTGATTGCAGGGAATTATCTAAATGGTGAGAGGACTGAATTCATATCACGCTTTTCTAATCATACTGACCAATCAAAACACTTCACATTAGAGCCAACTTCACCCAGCCACACTCTCAAATGCAAACACCTTCATACACCGAGGTGGCGGCAAAGGAAATGAGGCCATAATAAATTATTTAATTGTTTTTTAATCTTTAATTTGATAGATGTCCTGCGCAATTTAAATGTGGCTGACAACAGTGTGAAAGGGCTGTTTTAATGTTGTACCGGGTGCACTGTACATGCAACAAGAGACTTCTGTTTTCTCAAGATGTTTTGACTAATGTGCAGCACTGCAAGAAGCTTCCACAGTAGACATCCAGGCCTGGCAGGAACCTCTGAAAGTCTGGCGAGAGATTATAGGATGGTCTAATGAATCTGAATGTAGCAGTATTTTTGAAAAGTATTTTTGAAAAACAAACAATAACCAGGATATCGT